CCTACATTGGTTTCACTGCTGAGAGGTAAGCAGAGTTCAAGAAACCTGTGGATTACTGTCTGTTCTGTAAATTGTTAGCCACAATTGAATGTTCCAGCAAGCTTTCTAAATAGCCCCTGTCTTCAGAGGAGTTGGCTGGAACCATAATGGGTCTGTGATAATCAGCAAACCCTTTGGCAGCTCTCAGATGGCCAGTGGAGACATTTATAGAGTGCCAGAGACCCAGTCTTGGATATCCATTCTATAAACATCTAACATCTTCCACTTTAAAATCAGTGCCCTTAAAACTATCCCCTTCTTAGCTTTACTTAAGACCAACCTTTAGTTGAATTATTTGCTAAAGGTTTCCCCTAGCATGTTTTTCCAATTCATAAGTTAGGACTGAGTCAGTAGCCATGAGATTGGAAGATTGATGGTTAGGACTTCGAATGCCAAATCCCTGAATTTCTATCCAGGCAATTACTGCCTATAGTAGCCTCAGGAGGAACATATGCATAGAAGATGTTCCAGGAACATACCCTCTTTCTAATAGCTAAGAAATCAGCTTCAGTCTCTATCTGGTGGACTGACTAAACTGGGATGGGTTGTATAATAGCTTTCAGATATCACTTTAACCTCCTTTCCAGAGGAAAAGCACACACCAGGTGAATCAGTATAAGCCACTCTTGTTTTTCTAACATCTCCTTGGTCCCACATACTTTTTCAGGACAACACTGGCTTAGAGCACAAGGCATCCCTAGACCTATGTCTTGAAATCACCAGTGATGTGGAAGGAAGAAAGAGAAGAGAGGCCTTGGAGGATAACTTTTTATTCCTTCCCTCGTAGAAACTCCCCCCCAGTGCTAGTTGGACTCTATTTTGTATCTGTAGATTCCTTTTATTTATTTATGTGTTTGAGAGAGCTTTATTTTATAGAGCATGTGCACTCACCGGAGAGACAGGGAGACATTGAGAAATCAGCCCCGTGGGGGATGATCACACTGCAACCCATTCTCCTTTAGTCTCCTCTTGAGATTTTTGAGCACACAAGCACACACACCCAATGTGAGTTTTAAACCACCGGGTCTGGGTCCGAACTGTGGTCAACTACATGGGAGTCCAGTGACGTAACCTTTATGCCCTCCTTTCATTTTTGATATGACCAGAGCTCTTTCTAAAGGGAGCTAAGAAGAGTGGAATATGGGGGCTATTATAAAGATGGTAGGATATCCTTGGAGATGAGAATGACATCCAAAGGTTTTACTTACCTGATTAGATGCCCTTTTGAGATTCTATGATTCAGATCTCTGAGTATGTTGTTATAAGCATCCTATTGGGGGAAATGCAACAGTTTCTTAGTCTAAGTTTATCTGAAAGAACTGATTCTTTGGTCTTCTCATAGAGGCATTGTCAGCTCAGAATTTATAGATGAATTTGAAACCAGGGTAGAAAATAAAGCTATCTTATTTGTTTGGTCACCCCCTCAAAGTTTTAAAGGAGTCTAATCCCAGTTTACTGACCTTAACCCATCCCCTCAGGACAGATAATAGCTACTGTGCTCTTGTCTTCTTCAGTTACCACTGGAGCCATGCTGGGAATTAATGGAGCGATGGAATTGCTTTTCAAGGTTCTTACTCCTTATACTCGAAAGCACACCCGAACAATCAGGTAGGGAGCATTTTCTTAGTACATCTGCCATCTTGGTAACTGGGAGAGAGGGTGGACATGGCCCTACTTATATCCTTATAATGATTCTCATCCAATCGAGTATGACGACTTCCCCTTAAATAGGGTATAATGAGTTTATCTCATTTCACTGTGCATCCTTGCCTGCCCATGAGTCATTTCCTCTAATCCTCACAATAACGCTGAATTGAGTATATTATTATCCTCCTTTTCAAATGAGAAAGCTACAATAGAATGTGGAGAGAGCCTTACCCAAGGCCATAGAACTAGGAAATGGCAGATTAAACAAATTTTATTTATGATTATTACTGATTTTTTTTAGAGATATTTTTGCTATAGGGCATGTGCACTTGCCAGAGAGACAGAGAGATAGAAAGCAAGAAATTACTCCCTTCCAGATGGATGGCCATGCTGCAATCCTTTCTCCATTCTCCTCTTTGGATCTTGGGCATGCACACACATGTGCTTGGTGTGAATTTTAAGTCTCCAGATCTGGGACTCGAACAGCAGTCGACTACATGAGAGCCCAGCAGTGTATCTGTTATGCCATCTGCTGGTCCTTTACTCTTATTATTTTTAAAAGTTTGACCTGAGAAAGAGAAAAAGGGTAAGTGGGAAAGCAAGCCTCCAGGTCTGGGCCTTGAATGTGGTTGGCCGTATGGGAATCCAGTGCCTTAGCCACCATGCCACCAACTGGCCCTGAAAATGGCAAATTTGAGATTTGAATCTAGCTCTTTCAAACTCAAAATTTTTTTTTCTTGAAGTCTTCAGGGTATATCCTTTTTACTCACAGTGAATCTGCTATATACGTGAATAGACCTCAGAAGACAGTTCAAAAATGGCAGGGTCTCTAAACGATCCACCAGTTAAATTTCTAATATGAAATGTGGGCCTTAAAATAGTCCATCATGGTTGTGTGCTGGTCTCGAGATGTATTTTTATGACTGAAAAATGAAACTCAGCCTATTTTCTTTGCCTCTGCTTACTGGATAGAGTGAATCACCGAGTTAAAAAGGGAGATGGTTAGACATGAAGGCTTTAGAGATATTTGGAATCATTAAGATCTATCATTTATGGGAGTGACTCAGCGAGGACCTTGAAAGAATACTAGAAGAAATTCAGCCAATTTCCAAGATATATGGGGTCATTTGGCAAGTAGCATTTCCATGCCTGGCCATGATATTTTCTGCATGCCAGCATCAATCTTAGGCTCATGTTCCACCTGATTATTTTTCTCTTGGGTCACCACAGTTATGCCATTATCATCCATTCTTACCCGCAGCTCTTCTCAGCAGCTTTCCTGGAGTGAAATACATTGCATTTCAGAAAAAAAAATTCTCATTAAATAAATTGGGAAGTATGGGTTAAACAAAATTAATCTCCTTTTCCTTATGACTCCTCACAGCCTTTGTAAATCTAGCTCATATTAAAAATATTTAAGATGGCTGCATATACCCTATTCTAAAACGGATGTGGTAAGGGAGTTTTTGTTTGTTTGTTTGTTTTGAGATCATGTTTTTTAAGAGGTCAGTGTTCTAGGTATCTCATTTTTGGAAACCTCTTTTTTAGAGTGAAAATTTATTACAAAGTGAGACTTGACTGAATTTTACAAAGGGACTCTGCTCTAATAGTTATAAAACTTCAGAGTCATAAGCTGGAGGACAAGAAGAAAAATAACTTTATTTTTATGTAATTATATATATATATTTTAAGAATTATTTTATTTAATTTCAGTTATTATTATTATTATTTTAAATTTGACCAAAGAGAGAGACAGATAAAAAGAGAGAGGGAAAGTAAGAAAGCAAGCCACCGGGTCCAGGACTTGAACCACAGTCAACCACGTGGGAGTCCATCTCCTTAACCCACATGTCACCTGCCAGCCCCTGTAATTATATTTTATTTTGGTTTTAAACTTTGATTTAAGTTAGGTAAGAAAAATATACATTGGTGTCTTACTAGGAATGTAATTCAAGAGTTGACCCCATAGCTTAGTGGTTAAGGGAGCTGTATCCCACATGGCCTCCTACGATTTGAATCCTAGCCCCAGAGGTTTGGAAAACATGTTAGGCACATGTGTGTGTATGCCCCAAATCTGGACAGGATGGAAAAATGGAGGAGGAAGGATTGTGGCATGAGTATGCCTCTCTGGGGGCCCGGGGCGGGGATTATTCATCTTACTCTCTCTTCCTATCTCTGACAAGGGCATGTATCTTCAGACAATTAAAAAAAAACAAAACAAAACAGAAATGTAAGTCAAATTAGTCATTTTTTGGCCCACGAAAGGGCTTCATGACTTTCTCTTTCTTCCTGGGGTGTATTCAAGTTCTGAAATACTATGGCAGTGCCAGTATGTTGATGGACAAGTGCAGCTTGTCCTTAATCATCTCATGGCCATTCGAGTATGGCTGACATGGGCACATCTCATTTTTGTCATTGTGTGCAGCCCTTTGCTGCTGTTATCTGCAGTCTATGTTCTTTGGTCACTAATCCATGAACTTTATCTTTCTGCCTACTTCACAAGACCTCTTCTAACCCTGTGTGTTATAATTCAGCTGTTTAGCCAGTTAGGAATATCTGGTCATTTTCTGCAGGACCCATCTCTGCAAGATGGGTCTTGAAAATATTATTGGAAATGGAATTTATGAAAAAATTGTGCATGCATTTCAAAAATTCAGTTCTGACACGCATTCGTACTTTAATGCTATTTTCTTTCTCTCTTTCTCTCTCTCTCTCTCTCTCTCTCTCTTTCTCTTTCTTTCTTTCTTTCTTTCTTTCTTTCTTTCTTTCTTTCTTGAATGGTTTTTGCTATAGGGTGTGTGCACTCTCTGGAGAGACCAAGAGAGACAGAAAGTGAGAAATCTCCTGGGGCGAGGATGGCGACACTGCAGTCTCTTCTCCCCCATTCTCTTCTTGGAATTTTGGGTACAAACTCACATGCACCTGGCGTGAATTTCAAGTTGCTGGGTCAGGGACTCAAGCTGCAGTTGGCCATGTGGGAGCCCAGCGATGTAACCATTGTGCCATCTTCGGGACCCTTCATGAACTTTTCAAAGTCTCCTAGTATGAGTTTCACTTAGCCTTCTCTTCCTTGCCATATAACAGAAGGGATGAATGGCAGGGTGGGATACTTCTAATAACAAAAGGAACTCTTCAGGAACCTTAGGTGTATTTCTGCATGTCTGTTCTGTTCTGTAAATTCTAGGCAAGATGGTCCCCCTTCTTTAGCCAAGTACCAGATTAGAATGAAGCCTGCATAGAGAAAATGGTTTTCCACCAATCATCACAACGTAACTGTCATTGCCAATGGTGTTTATTAGGTGTCCCATGCTGTGTTAAGCTCTTAACATGCATTATCCCATTTGAGCCTCTTTTTCATTCCGCAAGGCAGGCGGTATCACTGTCCCCAATTTTACAGAAAAAAAAAAAAAATGAAGCTGGAAGAAGTTAAGTAACATGCTGGGTTTAAGTGAAAGTGCTAGGATTTAAACCCTGTTATACGAGCCTCAGCTCTTAAGCCCCCACTGGTATATCTTACAGAGTCTATTTCCAACATTTTATTTCCAAAACCATCATATGTAAGATAATCATAAGCAGTTAAAGTTTGCTTAAATTTCTTTTACTGTCTAAATAACTTATACCCTGGAACAATTTGCTTAATGATAGGGGAGGGTTTTTTTTTTTTTTTCCCTCTCTCAAATGGTTATTTCCTCTCAAAAGCAAAATATCTATTCCCTCTACTTTTGAATTCTTTACCAATGCTACCTTGTTTTCTACCTTACCTGCACTCCCCAGTAAAAGTACTAAAATTGGAAGGACTTGTGTTATAGCCTTCTTTCTAGCTGATTCTTTGGTGAGTCATTTAACTTCTCTTTCTTCCTTTTGTGAAAGTATTTATTTATTTATGTTAAATATTTCTTTATTTGATTTTATTTGTTGTTATTATTATCATTATTCAATGTGAGCAAAAGAGTCATAGAGAGAAAGAGTAAGAAAGCAGGCTACCAGGTCCAGGACTCAAACCATGATTGTCCATGAGAGATCTAGTGCCTTAGTCACCATCCCACCTGCTGGCTCCATTTAATTTTTCTTAACAGATCTTTGACATTTCTCAAAGCATGGATATCAAGTCTTATCTCCAAGGTGTGTTGTGGGCATGAAGAAATAATGTGTCAGATCTTTGTCAGCCTTGACATGCTAACATTGTAATCATTATTAATACAAGTACTATTGGCTACCTGGTTGTCTGCTTGAGATCAGGCAACTGACGCGCTAGAGGAATACGGAGATGGGAACTTTCTGCCAGTTCCCAATCCTTTCTCATGGACTCCATCCCCAAAATAGTAACTAAGATGTACCCAAATGAGTTCTACTTAGTTCCACTTGGATGCCAGGACCTATGGGTTTGAGGTGATCTTCCATGAAGAGGATGAAGTCACATGTCAGCGGACATGAATAGGCCCGCCGAGTGTCATCCTCCAAACAGTAGGAAGCTAGGGAAGAGCTATTCCAGGATGCCTTTGTAGGAGCAGATGCCCAGTGTTATGTCACTGTGATCCCTCCCTCCTGTGGAGATTAAACCTGCTGTCTTTCTTTAGCACAAAACTAAAATTAGATGCGCAGCTGTCCTCCAATGAAGCCCTTCTCTCCAGATACTGCTCAGGGCAAGATTTATGATAAAGCTCCAACCCTATACCTACTATAGAGATGGGATATGTAGAGCAATGTCACTGATCTTTGGTGGCCTTATGCTAACGTTCACTCCCAGGGGAGACAGCTGGTCCAACCTCCCTCCTTCGCAATACCCGCCATGTTGACACACATCAGCCATCATACTCTTATCTTGGCTTGTGCCTGTCCTTCTTTTTGCTCCTCTTGACTGCCACTTGAGTCTGAGCCTTTGGGGTTACACTCACTGCTATGCTAGCCCTCTAACTGGTCTTGTCTGACTTCAAAGCCGTGGAGAATATGTCGAAGCTTCT